AAGTTCCAGAGAGCTTATTCCATTATTTGGTATTGCGGAAAACATTAAATCCTTTGCTGAAAACGTACTCATAAAATAATTCAATCCATTACTATCCGGAAGATACTCTATATATTGACTACAATTTTGAATACCACCTAGCGTGCAAATATAGTTAAATTTAGAGCGTAAAAAAGAATTTGAGACTTCAACATTTAATACTTACTAGCATTTACGAAATGACAACTAATATTTGTTTTTTGAGACGCAAAAACAAGAACAACTGCAAAATTCAAAATTTTAATAACTTGATTAACCTGATCCGTCATTTTATTTAATATTGAGATTAACGTTACCTGGAATAGGAATATTGTTTGCTTCTTCTAAAGAATTTTGAATAACTGGATTATCATCATAAATGCCCCAAATTATTAACCAAGTGTATCCCAATATAGCGATTAAAAGTAATATTAACACGAAATTTTTCAATACAAATAATGATGTTGGTTCGGTCTTGCGATATTTTTGAAATAATTCTTCAAAGATCATTTTTTTGCATAAAAATTATAATTGATTTTTTCGTTATTACGTTATTACAAAACAATTTATAAAAGAAATATTCATTATCGGAAACAATTTTTTTTTTTTTAGCGCATGTAGAATACAATAATGCAATTAATAAATTATCACAAACCTCAACAAATTTCTGCATTATTAAATTTGCAGAATTCTCAATTTGACTAAATAACAATGCTGAGTCATTATAAAAGAAAAAATATTACTGTATTTAGATTAATTACTATATGGTGAAATTTAAATGGTTTCGTATCTATTGCCGTTACATTTTAAGTTGTATCGTGCATTTACATACGTGCGCACATTACGTACATAAGAAAGTATATATGCTAGGTGCTGCAAAAAGGAGTAAATTGACAAATTTTTCAAAAAACTTTTTTTTATATAAATCAATACAAATAAGAACATTTTTTACTCGCATTAATAAAATCTTGCAGTATAGCTCTTTGAAATCTGTATTTTCTTATTATATATTATAAATTTATAATATAAATATTGTTTTTTTCAGCCCGCATGCACATATATGTTGTGCCTGAGATCGATGCTTGCGTCAGGTGACAGCTGACGCACCTCAGATATCAATTGTTGTATGAGGTG